ACAAAAGATAGAAAGTTAACATAATAAAAAGAGGAGATGTGAAATTGCAAACTCTACTTTCCTGCCTGATTTTTTAAATCTTGTTAATTCTTTGATATAAGTCTTTTACTGTGATTATGCTATATTAAAAACACAGCACAGTAATGCTGCAGCTTGATGGAGTGCTACAGCCTTTCACAGGATCAAAGGGAATCTGATTATCCCTTCTGGTCTTCAGAGCTATAGACATATACTGCACACTCTGTCTAATCTATGAAAAAAAGCAACCACCCACCACAGTACACAAGAAAAGCTCCCTGAAGATAAAAGAGGCAAGTAACCACACGGACAGATGTTCACCACACCACTGATTGCACTGTCAGAAGCTGCTCGGTTGCTGCAGTATCGAGGGTGAAATAAGACACCATGAAAAACTGCCCAAGTCTTCAGCACTTCTCAGGTTAATCCACATATAAAAATAAATACTGCAAATAACTTGCCTGTTTTACAGAAGCCACAGTCAGTCAACTTTAGCCAAGTCTGCCATGGACATCAGATGCAGAACACAGGAACAGTTTTGTCTGCTGGGATCCTCCCTACTCCCTATCATTCAAACACAGAACAGGCACCAGCTCAAAGGGCTGCCAGGTGAGGCATAGGATGGCTGAATATATATATATATATATATATATATATATATATATATATATCCAGATGCAACAGCCCCTGCTAATGTCACATTTGTCTCAGCACAGCCATTCCATACCTAAGGGAATAACTGAGGGAAACAGTCCTCCCCTTTTACTATTAAATCAGCAGATTGTAAGCAGAATTCCTAAGGGAGCTTGATGACACACTGAAACATGCTGAATGAAAAAGGATGCTGCCCAGCATCCATCAAGCACTGAAGCCTTTCCTGTAGCAAGTCAAGCAAATGACTGGAAAAATGGCATGTGACAGTAACCAGTGATGACTGAACATTAAGGTCTGGTCTTAACTCAAGGATGTTCTTACAAAGCTGCTATCACTGCTCTTCTTCTAATGTGCCCTGTCATTAATGACAAAATGGACCCCATGGAAGTCATGGTTTAAATGTTGCTAACAGCATTTCAAAGAGAATTCTTGTGACAGCAGAAGTCAGCTCTTCCATCTGGCCCATTTGAGAGTGAAACTGAAATATTTGCTCAGACTTCAGAAGGTCATTTTGGAAGAGAAGAAGATAAAAGCAGGAATCTTTTACAATATGACCTAGCAAATCAAAGCAAATAGGGATTCCACTCACTGATAATCCAAAAGAAAAGAGACAGTTATAAGACAAATACAGCACTGTTTGTTCTAGGCAATGTGGTTGTATCTCTTGCCAACAACCTATATACTGGTAATTAAAACATAGAACACTTCATAAAAATATAAAAGAAAAGAGAAAGAAAACATTATTTCCAACAAAAACCAGTGGTAACTGCAGCACCATGGACACTGCACTCAGTGTTTACCAGCACACTTTATCTCAAATACTTCAAAGTGATCAAAAGCATCCATTTCAATAATTCAGAAACTTCCATCTGTTATCATGTCCTCTCAGTCTGGAAATTATTAAAAAGTCCTAAATCTGTTTGCTTAATTATTACATCTATTACACTGTTTAACAAGGAGGGGGTTATTTTTAAAATGTCATGACAGAACGCTTTCAGGATGGAAATACACTTAATAATAAAAATGAAGTGGTTTTTGTTTTTAATGTAAAGCTTTCCTTTGAGTGTAAGCCCACTGTATAAAATGTAAGATCACATCAGTATATCTCTGCAGGAAGAAAATTATTCTATATGTAAATAGACAAGCCCAATGCTTAACTAATTAAATGCGTTTTCATCATCCTAGTTATGACATACCTGAAACATCTGGGGAAGAGTCATTAAAACATCCAGAATTATTGTCATTTGGATACAGCCAATAACAGGATCACAAATATGCCACGTTAGCTAATGCTTACGCCCAGAAATACATGCAGTCAGCTGGATCCACACTAATGCTGAAATTAAGCAATTACACAAACACAGGGCAAGAGTCTCTTGGTAATGGAGGCTCAGTTACAAGCAGCATCGATTTTCCACTGCTTTAAAATGCAAATAAAACAAAAGAGTTAAAACAGTGAAACAGAGCAGGAGACAATCTGGGAACACACTGGGAGAAATAAACCAGTGAGAAGTCCAGAGAAGAGGGCTGGTATTGCTGCTGTCCCCTTTTCTATTTCACTTTTACAACACAACAGACCACAGCAAGGATTAAACTGAAGGACCAAGTTCTGTCAGAAACATCACACTGTGTACTGCATTTTTTAAATTGTTACAGGTCATTTTATAGGTTGTCCTGTTTGAACATCAGGCCTCAACGTCCTTTAATTATTGTTTCCTCAAAAGGCTACTGATAGTGGTTAACTGATAGTCTTTCTTAATGAAAGATTTCCCATTAGCAATTCCACAGAAGTAGGGCTACATTAAATACAATATTTACTTCAAAACAGGTTTAAAATAGAGTTAGACATACGTCTTGCCAAAAAATAAAATCCACACCTTCATTTTTATTATTGGACACAGAACCAGTCCTATTAAACTCAGTGAGAATAGGCACCTACATTTACCAAAAGAGAACGATTTTTGCATAAACAAGCAGGGCTCTGAAATTTAATTTAAAGGGAAGCCTTAAGCCCTTTACCAGAAGGGTTGAAATTTGGCATTTACTTTCCAGGACTAGCAAAGGAAAGGAACTCAGCCTCATTGGTTTCTAAACCACAAGGATGCCAGGTGTTTACTTTTCAGTACCACAGCACGTGCCCCACTCTTCTGACATATCTGTGCTACCTGTCAAAAGGAAATATTTTTCATACTGTTGGCTAAAAACTTTCTAGGTTCATGTCTCAAATTAACTATGTAAAATTTACTCATGTATTCATGACTTTCAAAAGTTAATGTCTATTCTGAAGTCACCTTTCTGTGATTAATGGATAAGTTAATGCACATGTTGCAATTGGTGAGGAAATAGTTCCATGACTCCCAAATCCATGCATCCTCAGGTCAAGTATTTTACATTACGCTCCCAGTTCTGAAAATGTCTTTGTGTTTCTGTTTCTCTGATAGAGTATGTACTGCTTTTAAGACCTGAAACTAGATATACTCACACTTAATTTGACCAGTCTATACTGTGGCTAGTGCCATAATTTTGTTGAGTACTTGGGTTTGCATTAAAAAACATAGGATTTTCACTAACTTTTTGACTAACCCTCCTATCTGGTGCTGATATGACACTGTCTAAGGCCTTTTAATTAACTGTGCACAAAGTACATGCCCTTTCAAGCAAACAAGTCTCAAGATCTACGTTTGGGCACCCATGTTTCAAAGAGACACATTTAAATTATTTTTTTATTGATTTAAATTAATATTTTATCCAGTTTTACCTTTCATCCAATTCATTCCATTTTGAATCCTAACCAAAAGTCTTAAAAGAACCAATGAATCCTATTTTCTTCCACCCTAGCAGAGGCTCAATTCAAAAGTGTGGGGGACAGATTTTGCACTGTCCCATCATTCATGCCTTAGAGCAATCCAGGGAAATTTCAACAAAGGTTACAACCAAAAATTAAGGGAGTAAAAGAGAACTATATAAGTTACTAAAAGTTGAGAGTGTTCATTTGGTGAGGTTCTTCATCTGAAACACACCTATTTAGCTACTACCCAAATTGGACTTAAAGATGATAGAGTGCTTTGTGAAATGTATCAATAAGAAAGAGCTACATAATTCCCAGACTCAGAAAGGATATTGGAAACTCCTAGCACCACAAATTTATTAAAAAAAAAAAAAAAAAGAAAAAAAGTGGTTTTGTTGCTCCATTGTTCTTGTCTAACGCTTGAGGAAATTTATTACTTCCTCCTCCTGCTTGTACTAAGAAATCTTCCAGAATAAAAATCTCTTAAATCCCCTGCCTACAAACAGATGCACACTTGGGTGAATCAGATGAAAATGCCAATACCTTTGCTTAGGGACAGGGAAGACTCCACCCAAACATTTTCTTTTTCTTTAATAAATGCCTTTCCAAAATGGCTCTAAAAATAAAAAGTATTTTTGTAATATTTAGAATTCTGCTAACTATAGTGTATAGGAAGAAGGCCTGGAAGTTGGCAGCAGTCATTTCTGCATGTTTTGTACCTCAGAAATACAAGTATGCCAAGAATTTTCATTTGTGGTTTCACTGCAGAAACCCTCAGATTTCTAGAGTGGAAAAAATTGTTTCATTCCTCTGCTATAGGATATACTGCCATACATCTTCTATGGCAAACAATTAACATTTTTCAGGATTTTCAATTACACAATGTCAGAAGATTTAGTTTCAAAGGCATTTAGAGAAAAATCTGCTGCAACTCTCTTTTTTTTTAAGAATAATCTGAGAACCTGAAATACCATTTTACCATAAAAGACAAGTGGAAAATCATCTTCCAGAAGGGAAAATACCAACCCCCTCCCCCCACGCACACAGCCTTATAGGCTTATTTCAGATTTTTTTTTATATATACAACAAAGCAATAATAATGATCAAACAGAGCTTTTCTTCAAATGTAGAACATAATTCGACCATTAGAGAAAGTGCTGCTGAAATGGAGAGACTTGTATTTCATATTAGTAGTATTTAAAATTTGCACTTCAGAACTATTCCACTGGAAAATGGTGGAGGGAGTAAGATAACCTTCACTAGGCAAGTACTCCCACACATTGCCTCCACACAAAAATCTTGAGGCTATCAAGATGCCCAGAGACATTAGCTACAAACTAAAGCCTTGTGTCACAGCCAAGTGAACTTGTCTTTAGGTCAGCACGAAGATTTACTGGCACACAGAACAGGATACACCAACGTCAAGGCGAAAAGGGTTTGACGCAAACATCTGAGATATTTGAGCCCTATCAGCCCCTCCCACCTGAATTGCCTTCTCTTGTCAAGTCAACCCATGCCCAGTTCAACAGGCTGGACTTACTGTGAGATGTGAGTTATTGGGGTCAGCAGGGTCTCACCCTCCAGGTCAAGCTCATCGGCAAAGCTGCTGGTCCTGATGAAGGGTCCTGTGCTCACATCTAGAAATGCTGGGCTCTTTTTTACTGTGGGAAAAACATGCAGATAACAGTTCAAGCAACAGCATTTGTCTGCAGCTCACCTGGACCTCTGAAATACTGTACATTTTAAAAGAATATTGAATACAAAAGTTGCTACCAAAATTGCACGTACCGCAGAGTTCCCAAAAAAGCAAAATTTTAACTCTTCCTCGGCCCAAAGTATTTGAACTTCTGGTGAAGATTAAAACTAGTATTTTATTCTTTTTTTGTGTTCATACTCCTGATACACTAGAATATTCAGTTATCTATATGACAGAGGGCTTCATGCATTATTAAGAGACAATGTGCCGATTCCCTCTCACACTACGGCATGAGGCTAACTCAGCTTTGGGCTCAGAATCAGGACAGGTGGCAAGATCTCCAGCTCACCCCAGAAAAAGTTCTTACTGGGAAGGTTGATTCACAAAACTTCAGATATTGAAAGTTTTACTGGCCGATTTACTTGCAGATCATCATTTTCACGGATCCAAGAAATCAGGGAGAGTGTCACAGTTTTAATTTCTAAACTCAGGCTCTGAAATTCTATTAGATACTAACACTAAGAACACCAAGTACTTTATCCAACATGGCCCTAACATTTGTTAGAGAAGCTACAACATTTGCATATAAATAAAGCTACTGGTGTCGTTTACATGACTGTAAATGAATTTACAGAAAATAAAACATGGTAACATTCCATATAAATCATAGGTAATTGTGACAAGTCCACAGAAACCTTTGTCAGTCCAACTAGTTGGAATATTCAATAAAACAATTATCATGCCGTAATTTATGAAAACCCTACTCATATTTATGAGATATTAAATAAAATATTTTATAATATAGCAATAAATAATGCCCTGCCAAAAAGCCACACAAAACCTATAGGAATACAACAGAAATAGATAACTTAAATGTAGCTGATCTTTCCTGAGAATAGAAGTGGGAATATCAGGAAACAATTCTTTTCTTTTAATGCAACCATTTTACTCAGGTAATTGGGTATTTTCATATGGCAGAAATGGATTTGAATTTAAAAAAACAGAAGAGAAAGTATTATTTCATCTTTAAGCACATGGCTGTCCAAACTACAAAAGGAAAGCCTCTGTACTCCAGAAAGGATGACCTCTGAAATCACAGTTTTAAATAAATAAATAAGACAACTGCTAGGAGATACATTTATTACAAGCAAGAGCCACTTGTGGCACTTAAAAATTAAGATTTTTGTAGCAAGTTTTACGAAGCACTAATTACAATTTTTGCTTTTAGCATCATACTAATATTATGGTACCATACTATTTAATCACTTTGCTATAGCCATCATTTAAAAACATGACTGTGAAACCAGCAAAATAATTCTAGATAGAGATGTGCAATGAAATGTCTTTCAAACAGACTTCTTCGGGCTTTCACCAAATAAATTTTCACTGTCCTCATTTCTACATGACATAAATGAAACTTTCCCAATTTGTAGCACATAAGGACTCACAAATGTTTTTGTTTTCTGGATGGCAAGTGATAAAAACTGCTGAACCTAAAGCCATGTAAAGGGTTTGCTGCTCACGAGACTGTGCTCATGAGAGACACAGCACACTCCACACACAAGGGAACTGCAGGAACAGCAATTCTTGGGTCAGTCACAGCTATTGCTTTCCAGTTTCGTGGGAAGGGAAAGAAGAACTGGCACAATGAAAAAAGAACCAGAAGTATGGGGATTTTTGAAGGAATTTTGAATGAGTTAGAGATAGGATTTCTGAGTTTTTAAATGATGTGGCTTCTTTTTCTTATTTTCTACATAGGTAGGAAGGGTGAGTTTGGCTCACATCTTTACTGTATGGTTCAGAAGCTTACAAGATTCCTAGTGATAAGACTTTTTAAGGATTTCTTGACTAATAAAACACTGCTAATAAGGATATTTGTGGTTTTGACCAAATTCTTAAATATTTAATCTTATGGACTTATGTTACAGTGTAAGTTTTTTTAGTTAATCATGTTATGATACATGACCTACAGCACTGCATTCTAAACTCCTTGTTTACTTTTGTAAACAACTTTTTGTAACTACATTTTTTCTATATCCTAAATTCCAAAACTCTAAACCTTCTTCTTCTTAACCTAACGTGTTTCTGCTTTAAACTATTAATTCACATTCTCGCTTCTAGTACCTAAGTTTGAAAGCCTTTTCCAATGTCTCAAATCAAATCCTCTGTTTAATCCTAAGCTTTGAAAATTCCCTGCATTTCAAATTCCATCACAAAAGTTAAGACTGGGCTTCAGCCTATTTGAAAGAATTCTTGTGTGAGCACACAGCAAGCCGGAGCCGATTAGTATGAGGCAAACATGGTATCTTCTTCCCTCTGTTTTAAAATTTCTGAGATGATCATAACTAAAAAAAGAGCATGGCCTTAATGACAGTTTCTCTGCTTCAAAGTGCCTTGAAACAGGGCTTAAGCAGAACACCAGGGAGAACACTTTTTTACTTATAAAAATAAATTCATAGGCACTAGACTTTGGACAAGTCTTTCTTAGAAGGCAGTGTTAAAAATATGCTTTAAAAAGACACAATTTCTACACATGAAGGCTAAAGAGAAAAAAAAAAAAAAAGATGAAGCTTTAGACACTAGTTTTCAATGGATAATAATGGGTGAATTTAAACATTTGCAATTTACAACCTGTACAACCTCCAGACTCAAAATTCTACTGAAACATCTCTTTTTAGAAACCAGCTCTGTAATTTTTTGTGCCACAGAAGACAGCTCCAGACTGAGCATTGCAAAGATTTAGTAATTAACAAAGGTGATGAAACATGATGGAACAATGAAATATTATGAGCATTACCTGGAGAGGAAGGAGCGCTGGAAGACTGCTGGTCTGTGGAAAAGGATGGCCAGGAGCGCTGACAATCTGAGTCAGAGTGAAGATGCACATGAGACAGAGATAGAAGAGGTGAAAAGAAAAAAAAAATAAAAGAAAAAAAAATAGAAGCTCCAGACAGACAGCTGAGGAGACGCAGACATACCTAAAATTTAGTATGTTCTACCTGACACAAAATTAAAAACACTGTAGCAAACAGTGTATGAAACTGTACAAGAGAGCATTACACATTGACAGAACTTTCAGTGGTCACTGTGGAGGGGTCATGGCTTTTCCAAGCCCATTTTTCATGGCAGTCTCAACTGCTGCAAGATATTCCTCCCTACAGGCCAATCTCTGTTTGCCCCTTTCCTCCAGACTTCAGGGTTTCACAAGTTTTTCCCTTTGCTAAGTGTCCAAGCTCCCAGGGGTCAGACCCCTCTCACTCTGGTTCACACTGTTCACAGAGCAGCTCTCTCCTGGTGAGGTTTCAATGCTGCCAAGTGGATGGGGCAGTTTGGACATCCACGTCGGAAGCTTCCAAGCACATCCCATACGAAGTTTTTGAAGCTGCCCACTTCAACCATGTAAACCAAGTGCCTGCCTCAAGCTGAATTTCTTGGGGAAATGTTTCAGGCAAGCAAGAGGAGCCAGTGATTAGAAAGAGTCTCAGTAAAACACACAATCTTTACATTGTGTTTAGTTCTTTTGAATAGTATTATGCTATTAATAACTATTTCATTAAGAAGTGCCTGTGAATTCACACACTTGGACAGGCTGATACTTCTCAGGAATGGTGCCTTACATTTATGCAATGAGGAAAAACTCTTAAAATAAAAAATGCATTGGAGTAAAAAAAAATCAGAACAAACCCTCATTTTACAAGTGACTTCTCAGTGCTACACACATGTCCTGGTTCCAGCCAGGACAGGGTTAATTTTTGCAGTAGCCAGGATGGGCCACAGATCCTTTGGTTTTTGCTGTACTGATGATGCCAAGAGAAAAAAAACGGAGGGAGAAAAAGCTGGAAATCGATTGTTGCACAAAGATACTGGCAGGGAAGCCAGATGAGGGATCCAGGAGTGTGAAGACTAAAGTAGAAGTGTGCAGCCCAAAAATTTACTGAATGTGAGAAAGCAGCATATGGATATGTTGCTAGAGGCTTTCTGAAGGCCAAATTAAAGCTGAATGAGTATCCTTTATCCTTGTACTTTCTAGTTTCTTCCTTCTAAACTTTTGACTTGGCAGCTCCAGTTTTCTGTGCAGATAATCTTTTTCACAGAAGTAAAATAACACTCTCTCCTCTTTGAGCTGCTGTGAGAACAGTGTTAGACATCCTCTCAGTTCCACTGAGCTCTGCTTGCCTGGCTGGGACACAGAAACTGAACCTGTGATGGCTGGTAAAGCTCCTCTGATATTTCCCCAAGATGAAGGAATTTCTTGTTCACTTAAAACAGGTGATTTGTTTGGTGGCTCCTGCTGCCCTCCTCATCTTGTTCCACCATGTCTATCCCCACCAAAGATGCACCTCATAGAATGGTGGAAACTGGGAAAATCAAGGATTGATTGGGGGAATCCAGGAGATTCAGTTTGGTTTTGCTGTTTTAACACCTTAATTACACCTGTGTCCCATGTGGGTTCAGGGGTGAAACTGAACTTTGCCATTTCAGTCAATTTAATTCAAGCCTGAGCATCCTTACACTCAATCACTGGAAGGAAGCCTCTGCTGTCTGCAGTGGATTCAGAGCAGAAAACTTACAGGTGGCTCATAGCACTCTCACTAAATCACAGAGGTCTTTTGCCCAGACCTAGCCCTAATCCTGCTGTCTTTGGGGAGCACTCAATTGCTAAGGAAGTGCCTAAGCAAGCACATTAGAAACATCACAAGACTACATGGCTGCTTAAGTGATCACAGAATCCAGACAAACAGTAAAATAAATTATTTAATTTATGGGTCCCCATCTGTTCACAAATATCGACAGCATATTTTTACAGGAACAGATGCGTGTACTTCAGAATGCACAACACTGGGGGTCAAATCTGAAAGTTTTATCCCATCCTAATTCAGTTATTTAGAAATTAATTTGCATCATACACTTAGATAACTACTGGATGAATTATATCTTATTACTAGAAAACTATATTTTTCTATTGGCAATATATACACGAGCAATTTTTCTCAAATATAGAAAACCATTAGAGGTCCTGTACTTATACAAATGACTGCTCACTTTTCTCTTTGTAATGAGACTGGGTGCAGTTGTGATTGCAAGTGTGAGAATGCACATTTTCTGTCTGTCTAGATCTCCTTGGCTGCAAAAGATTTCTTAGAAATTATATGGCACTAGACACACATGAAAAGCACTGCAAACATTACACTGTCATGCCATAAACAGAATTATTTTCCTCAACTTACCAGGCAATTTTAACATTCCTGTTTGTCCTGTATACTTGTAACAGTTTATAGAGGAGAACACAGATAAAAAAGAAAAAAGATAAGTGTCAGAAGAAATAAGAGAAAATCCTATCACTGAAAGCTATAGAGCTGACTTTTGAAATAGCAATAGTAGGCTGCCATCAAATTGCATTGTCCTTAATCAGCTCAGAAATTTAGTGGTAAAAGGTGGGACTTTACAACTCTAAGCATGGTTCTGTAATTTATTTGTTTTGAAGAAAGGTGTCTGTACTCAAATTTTGAGACAGTACTTACAGTACTTGTCCACCTTTTAGCAGCTATGTAATTTCTACCACCAGATGCAACTTGCAACCATTCCTTAGCAGAGGCCAAGACAGAGTGGAAAAGCATGGATGATGCAGAACAACACAACACAAGCACACCAAAATAGCACAAGGAAGGCAAGATTTTCTGGTTGAGCTAAAATATGCCCAGTGCCAGCCCACGCTACTGTCTTATTTTAAAGCCATTACATTTATGTCAGCCAAATTTTTGAGGAGAAAAAACATCGGTACTTAAGGTATCTATAATCAATAAAACACACCTTAAAAATTAAACCATGCTCTTGTTGCCAAAATTTGAGCAATACATTAAAAACGTCCAATAAAAGTACATTTGTAAAAATGCCACATTGTAAATTCAGAGTTATTCTGGAAGTTCAGTACAGCAAAAGCAAATATAAACAAGCTATTAATCATAAGGTGATTATCAATGTCCTGTCTTCTTTTTCCTCATACTGTACCATTTTATACATTTACAGTGACATTTAATACAGATGTATCCACATTTATATTAAGTACTTCTGCTTTCAAAACTTGATTCACAGCCTACCGCACAGAGCAGATGGCATGAGCACATGATGATTTCATGTAGCAGACTATGTTTGGTGCAGCCAAGGCACACCAATCCTTTTTGGTTCAGGTACAAGCACAATAGTGACACATCCTGGGTAAATTTCACATGGAAAAGCTGACAGCTAATCCCTGTAATTTCAATCAGTTGCAGAATTGGGGAATGTATGCACCAGCCTAAGAGTCTGCCTGCTAGAAGAGCCTAAGCAGCTCTTCCAGCAGGCAGAAATGAGAAATGATTTTGTTTGTCTGCAGCAGAGCGTGTTCATTAAAGCAATGGTTAAATCTCACCCAAACAAGCCAGCAACCAACGGCAAAAAAGCAAAGTATTCTTGCTTTAGAGTGACAAGAGCTTGTTCTTTCCTTCTTTACTACAGATACTAAAAAGGACCTGTATGCAAATCTAATCATGGAACTCATCACAGTTACTGGCATTTTATAATGGAGCTTCTTACCAGAATTTTCAAATGGTTCAAAACTGAAATCAGTTTTCCTGTCCTCAGCCACGTGGTCATAAGTGATGTGTGGTATAGCCAACATCCTGTCTGGAGAAGAAGGCCCATTGTCCTTGTCTAACTTAAATTTCTTCTTTTTAACCTAAAAAAAACCCACATAAAATAAATTACTCAAACCAAGTCACACAGAGTTGTCTCTTCAGTGACGCCTTCAATAATAACACAGTCCCCCCATTGAGCTATAACTAATTAAAAGAGTGCCTGAATTACATTTTCATGATCCTACACTGTGTTTCTCATTACGTTGCCCCCTCATCCTGCCAAAACTGGCTAATCACTAGATTTCTGCACATTGTTATTTCCAAATCCCTTGCCTGCAGTTAAAAAAGAAAATCTGCTAGTTATGCAGCTGCTTATATAAATCAAACTATTCTAGAATATCTTTATCATTTTATGGATGCAATAAATCACACCTTCAGCACAAAGCCAATGGATATATTGCTACTGAACTCAGATGAACCTTGGAGATACAAGACAAAATTTTTGCACAACATCCTCTCCATTTAGCTTGAGACTGCTGTGCAATACTCTTACAATGCAGAGGATGGTGTACTACATAATCTAAAGAGTCTGACAAAGGGGTTTTGTTGCTGTGTTTAAAACAAAATAATTCTGAACTTATGGAATCTGTTGATATGACAGTATTACTCTATGAGGGCACAAGAAGTCTTTACCATAAAAGATTAGAAAATCACAAAATCAATAGGTTAGAGAAACAGAAGCTTTTTTGGGTTTTGTTTGTTTGTTAGAATCGATTAAAAGTTACAATTTTGGAAATATGATGAAAGTGATTTTCTTTTTATTTTTTACCTTTCCTTATAGTTTTTCAAACAACAGTGGTAAGTAACTAGCTAACATGCCCGAGTTAAGTCATTATTACTCTTTTCCAAATCCATTAAAAAATCAAGTTGAGGGAAATTCAGCAAATCAGCTTCTAATTTATAATGTTTGTATACTCAGTCAAAACTGAAATGTAAATCAAAATTTGAAACCAAGTAGTAATCTGTAAAACAAGCAGAACAAATAATCTCTAAAGAGTAAAAAAACTCAATCTGATTTAAAATCTTGTGATTACTATAATGTGAAACATTAGTTATTGATACCATCACCGATTTCTTTGGTTTTGGACTGGGTGAGAGCAAATGATAATTCCTGGCAGGTTTTCGAATGTAAATTTTCCATGTAGAAGAGTCTGGGTTTTCTGCAGCGTAGCATCTCCATGCAGTCTGGAACAAATGTTTTAAGCAACAGAATAATTAATCAATCATATCAGTGGCTCACTGTACAACACAGTAACTTCCAAGCAGCATGTCAGTCATTCTTTATTTAATTATATTCTTGAATTTGCCCTCTGGAAACAAACCCAGCATGGTTTAGAACTCTTATTTAGTAAATAGAAACCACATAGTTAGAACTGGGAAACCACACAGAGAGATGAGTCCTTTCAAGTGCAACTTTTATTCTCAGTAGCAACAAACAAATAATGAGAGCGCGCTCTAGACCGGACTCAAAAAAGGGTCTAAAATTTTACGTTCTGCCCCAGTTTCCTACCTGACTTCAGGCATTTTGCCTATTGTATCCTATGTTACAGGCTCCTACTCAGAAAAAAGACAAAAATTGTTCTTTCATGCCTCACAAAAACATGGCCAGAAAAAAAAAGGAATTGTGATGTGGTCAGTAGAGCTATATTCATATGAAGAAATGCAACTGTGGGCACAACAGAATAGTACCAGTGGTTAACCAAGAGCCAAAACCCAAACCCAGACCTCCCTCTTGCCAACCACCAATGATTAAAGTCCCATGTTCTAAGGCAAAAGGGAGAAAAAGCAGGGCTAGGAAACAAGACCAACAAGAAAACACTACTGCATTCTCTCTTAACTGTGTAAATACCAGAATTGATTAATAATGAGTCTCCAAACTAAAAAGGCAGATCCTCACTTACTACATGAAGAAAGGACACACTTATACACAAACAATCTAAAGCAGGGAAGGCCAGAAAACCCTACATGAAAGAAACAAAGCAAGGCAGAATGAGAGAGCTAAAGAAACAGCAGTTGGAAAGTAAAGCACTTATATCACCATATAAATCCCTCCATGATTAACAGAAGAGTGGAAGAAACAAATGACCTCTAGAAGAAACCAAGAAGGAATACAAGGAAAGAAAATTAGTCATCAGGGCTGTTCTCTTGTCTTGTACCTATTTTGTAAAGATCTTGGTTTAAGAACCATCTTTTTGTAAGTCATTTGTAGAGCACTTACTGAATTGGGCATTCAGAAGTCTGAGACTACTAGTAAATCATAATTAGAACTATTAAGAACAGATACTCTGAAACTCATTGTCTATCCTTTACTCCTTCTTAACATTCTAATGGAGCCAATTCTGGACATGCAGTCTCAGGTTTCCCAATAATTTGGTGTTCATTTCCCAAAAGAATCAGTGGGAACATTAAAAAAATCCATTCTTTACAAAACCATACCATACGAGTCTCAAGATTTTTAGCTAATCTCTGGCTATAACCAGGGCCTTTTTCACATTAACTCTGGGACTGTTTAGTTTCAAGCATAAACATTACAGTTAGCTACTGTTTCCATAAAGATCCTGACCTGGAAACCCACATTCACTCATGAAGCTAGAGAAGTAAGTCATATGAGAATGAAAAAATGATATGGTGTATATCTAGTTTCCTTTCAAATTTGATCTCTGTGCTTCTAAAGCTATGTGCAGGTACTGAGTAGAGGGAAGAGAAGCTGGAAAAACCTAGAATGAAACCATGTTAATACTTCTCCAGGGTGCAATGCTGGCTCCAACAAAGTAAAGGATAAAATCACTTCTACCATGCTGATACTGAACTGCAATTGCTTTTATAACAGGGGGATCAATATTTTCCTGCCTGTCAGTTATTCTACATGAAAAGACTGATTTTAAAGAATCCCAGTGGTTTCCAGCCACCTATTCTAGACTGAAAAGTCCAAAAACCATTTTCCTATTTAAGATTCTGACATATTTCTCCTAAATTTGAATATTTTAAGAATTTAGCTGTACCAACTGAAGCATATTTGACATTTGTCTTTACAAGCAGCAATGTATTTTTTAAAAGCACAATTCTACATGAAACTTCCTCTTTGTTTTTTCACTATTATAACCATAACATTTCACAACACCTTCCCCAGGTAAATTGTTTAATAATTACAGGATAATTTTCAGTTTTGATTTTAACCAGCTGAACGAAACAGTTTACACTAATTTGGGAATGCACTTTTCTGCTCAATAGTCTGCATTAAAGACTGGATTTCCAAAACTTGCATCTGGTAACTTCTGTACAGTTTTTAATGGGAATCAGGGAGGGAAAAATTGCCAACAGCTTGGGGGGAAAAAAAAAAAACCACAACAAAAAACCTAGGGGGAAAAAAAAAATCCCACAACAAAAAACCTACTGTAAATGGAAAGAAATGGCAGTATGCAATGTGCAAGAACTCAGTACCTGTATGAGTGAGGCAGCAGCTGGAATCTGACGGTTGAAATGCTTCTGTCTTTGTTTCTGTTGCACCTTTAGGGCAAAGCCTGAACCAAGAATTCCCTGTGGAAAGAAAAAAAAACCTTTTTTTCTTTTTCTTTTTTTATTTTTTTTTGTAAGAGTGGAGGGAGAGAGCCCTACATAAAATTCCCAAATTATGTTGTGTTAATAAACTTTTATTCAGCATCATAAAACTTAACTAATTATTTTGAGGAAATGACTTAATACAGTGAAATTTTTAGTCTCAGTTATTACTTGCTGAAGCCAACTGTGAATGCTGTCATTCCCTGATGCAAAGCCTGCTGGACTCAGACCCAAAAAAGGAAACAGAAATGACATTTCATACCCTCTAAAAGTCTCACGAAGTCTTGTGTAGGGGAATGACAGAATAGGGGGGGAAAAAAAAAAATCAACCTGATGGGCTTAACTACATTTTCATAAGAAATAAAGCTTTAGCAGGGCATGATGTAAGCCACTAGATCTTTTAACTATGGTATGGTAATTTCTATGTCCATATATTAATCCCTGGTGGGAGTGAGGAAAGAGGAAGAAGAAAAGAAAAAGTCGTATTTCAAAGTGGTCAACTGAAGTGAACACAAAGCCATCTAATTCATTCTCAGGACAAGGGACATGGACTAATGGCACTGGATGGTATGAAACTTGAACTAGACTCCAAATGTAATACAGATATGAAGTTCCAAATTTAAGTAAAGAGCAAAGCCATTTATGTGGTCATTTGCATAGGTATAGGCATATTTAACAGAAGTTCTAGTAACAGGTGAAAATGAAATCTTTTATAAATCATCTTACATGATTACACCTACTCAAGAAAGCACAATTCTTTTTCTACACATAGTAGAAGGCATCAGAGCATGGAGGGATCTTGGCTCAACCTCTAAGAACTTATTAATCATTAAATATTTTGAAAGGAACATGAAATGCCCTTCCTATTATGTTGATTTAGTAAAGATCAAAGAGATGATGATGCTCACACACCACATATTTGGGAAATGAGGGATCACTGCCAGATCCAGAACCCACACCAGTTGCATTTAGCCACTACAATCACTTTTGACTGTGATCTCAGCCAGATCTTCCTACCTAAAATACCAACAACAAAGTCTGAAATACAGCTTCAAACCCTAAATTCCCCCTTGGGCCAACCCACAGGAACAACTTCACTCAGTAAGGAAAATCCCACTAATAAAAGGGTGATTGGTGGTGTTCTACTTCAAAAAAGATTAGGGAAATCTGACAGGTAAACATTAAACATGGCTGTGAAGGCACGGCTGCTACACAATCATTTATAAAACATTTTTGTGGCATTTTAGACTGATTTTAAAAAAACAACCAACCAAAACACCCCACCACCAACACTCTTCAGTCAAAAAAAGTAGGTTTTGGCATTTTCCATACCAATCATTTCACTTATCTGATTTCTCTTCCAAAATAAAAGTGGAAGATATTAGAATGAGGGGGGGGGGAGGCATATGCTTTAAAGGCAAACTGATGCTGGAGAATTTAAAGAACTTAATTATCTCTTCTATAAAAGGTTATGCACTTTTAAAGTAGGCAACTAATTTTAAAAGGTCACTGGAGTTTTAGTATCTACTATTTCATGCTGTGAAGAACTTTTGGGATGGCACTGGCATAAAAGTATTCTTATCTATTCTGTACCATCCCCACCACTTCTTCATTAGAACTACACAAACATCTGCTAACACAACTGCTTGTGTCCCTGAACTGAAAAAATAAGCATGTAGACAGAATGCTTCAGGTGGCACAAACATTTTAAAAGCACAATTCAGGAGGCTGGCTAAGTTTGTGGAAAACACACCCTAAGCTACACCTGGCACTGAATACTCGGATTTTCAAACCACAGTACAAGACTTGCTGAATTTGAATTTACCCTTGGAATTCAAGTGCCTTGTTTCTTGTTTGAAAGCACTCAGGAACCTGTTTTCAGTGCAAATAAAGTGCCAGAACAGCTTCAAAAGGTCAGTTCCAGGTCACTTTTGAAAACAGGACTTTTGCCATGGACAGATATTAATTTTGTGAAGAACTGAATCAGTGTCTCTGGCTGCTGATTGCTGTCTTTCTGACAGTGATATATTTTTGGAAGCTTTTCTAGAAGAAGGATGTACATGAGAGTTCTCCAGTTCACCTTGGACCTACTCAGTTGAGTAAACTATGAGTGAATGCCTTAAAAAAACCCAAAACATCATTAAGTCATCACAAAGAAGTAATTAGAAATCATTTCCTTTACACTTTTGAGATAGGCTAGGAAAATTACATGGAATTAAACATATCTTCCTCAAATCCTTCTCAAATCTAGTGTTGCATACAAAAACCACTGTATATTTATTTAGCTACTTCTAGAAGCTCTTCTGTTCTACAAGCTACATGAATTTCAGCTACAATATAGAAGCTTAATACAGAGCTTACACAAAACCAGGTTAAATGAAAGGTTAAAGAATCAATAACAGAAGTTCCCTCTGATAACTAATGGATCAACATCAAATTTTTGCAAAAATACAAGAGAACCTACCGCAGGCAGTGCAAAAAATGAGATTGCAAACACTGAAAAACAAGATGCAATTGTCTTTCCTATCCAGGTCTGTGGCACTTTATCTCCATAGCCAATAGTTGTAACAGTCACCTGCAAAGAGAAATGAAGAGGGCATTACAGCAAGTATTAACAAGGCATTTTGGGCTTGTTGCTCTCTTCTTTTTTTATTTATTTCAAAGAAGCATTAGCTGCATTCCTAACTCTCCCACTGTCAGCCTGTGTGACACTAATGAAGGTTAACTCTTCCTTCCAGGATTGCCTCCCCACCTAATACTGAATGGAAAAACATATACAGGAAACTGAATCACAACAAAATACACCTTTAAAATCTTGCGAAGTAAAACCATCAAATCAACTTAAGTCTCCATGGCTGAGGCAACTGTACAGCACATGAAGTTACTGAGATAGGGGTTGCCTGCCTACATCACACACTTTCCTTAGGGAAAGGCTGCCACCAGTTCTGAGCTGTGATTTGGTTGATGGGCAGGAGCATTTTTTGCTGAGAATGCTGCATGGAAAGAGCACACACACACTGTAACCAGGCACTATGACTGAGGTCAGGCATGAAGCACTCTGGAGATAACATTTGTACAAATAGCAAGAGAGGCTGAACATTTTCCATGCAGTAAAGACCCTGAAAACAGCCCAATGAATCACCAATTCATATAAAACACTAAGAGCAGGAACAGATGATTTAAAGCACACATGCAGGAAACATCTGTTGAGTTTGCCTTTCAGAACACTGAAGTAAAGATTACCACCACAGTGATGTAGCATAACAAGGCTTAATAAGTCATTATTTGCATGAGCTCAAGGAAAGAGCGTATTTGTTTGAAGCAGGAGGATACATTTGGCATCTGAGAACAATTTAAATTCACCTATGTCACCAGCTATTTCTGAATTTGTAAGTTAGAGATATTTTTATCAGTGACTTCGAGGAAGGCTAACCAAATCAGAGCATGGGAAACCACATGGAGCCCTCGAGCAGCTGAGGCACAGCTCAGCTGTTGGCTGGTCAGACTTTCCTCTGACCCTGTGGGCTCAGGGACACAGATGTTGGTCCCATAGTCACACACACAGGCCATCCTCACCTTGTCCTGAACCTGCCCACCCTTAAGCAAAGTCACTGTGTGCAAGTCAAGCACAGGACAAAAGGGGCAGCTTGAGGTGGGGATGGTCACTGCAAGTTTCTCACCAGCTGCTGATACTCAAACATTCATGTGTTCGATTTTAATTTTTAATACAAGTTTTTAAAACGTGGCCTTGTTCCAAAACTGTTTCATACCCCACAGAAGCATTGTAAGGGTTAGTTAACTACCCTAGCACCTTTGCCTGTATTCCTGAAATTGGTATTAAAATTCTACCTTAATTCAGGATCTGATGAGGGGAGGAAGTATGATGTTATCTCCTTACCTACATAGGAGGGTGGCTCAAAAAAAATCCTAAAGTCACTTTCAAAAATATGGAATAAAAAAGTAAACATAATTATGGGAAAATTTATAGCCTCCAATGCCTTCTTACAGAGAAGATGATGAGAGAAAATAACTGTTTATGCTTCTGTTTTTGAAAAAAATTATAAATCCTTGTAAGTGAAAAATGTTATCAACTATTTTGTGTTACACTACTAAAATCATGCTGAAATACACACATTAACTAGAAATGTGAAAAGAAATAGGCCCTTCTGAGCTGACCAAAGTATAACTGAAGAAGAATTCATATACATCTAAGTATTTATCTCCCCTTTCCTACCACATCCCTGCCCCTTCCTTCTGAATTGGTTTATATGAATCATCAGTAACACAAAAAAAGTATTTCCTGTGATGGTTGCCTAGGAGTTTTTTTTTTTTTAAATAAGTTTTGGAAATTGGGTTGCAAATCAAAGTCTGAAGTTAACTTTTTCCTCTGCACTCATAACTCTAAACCATCTACAAATGCATTGTATTCTGAAATTGCCTTTTTTTTTTTCCCTCAAAATACATGCTGTTGAAATCCTACATGCCAAGTTTCTGCTCTAAGTCATTTTTTACAGCTGGATTAAAACTCCCTAAAGAGCACAATACTAATTTTACAGTTGTAAAAGAGGACATTATAATGGAAATACTGACTCAACTTCTACTCTACCATATTAAACATGTTGGCATAATGAAATTAAATTGATACAAGATCTCACACGTTGAATTTCATTGAAAAGCCTGTAAAACAATTGCTTTAATTAGGAACAAAATCATATTCATCCATTGACTATTTTAGAACTTTGATCTGATGAACATCACCACAGATTTAGGCATTAAGAGTAATGTTGTTCCTATTACATATGAATCAAAAATCTGAAGGGGGAATATGAAGCAAAAAACCCACCCAGAAAGAAGAAATAGTAATTTTCATCAGCACTGAATAGGGAAAGGATTTTATTTTAGGCTATAGCAGGCTAAAGTGAGCACAGGAAATGAATCAGTTAAGTAAGGATGTTCTGTCTATGAAATCCTTGCTGTGTACCTGGGGAAATTTGGATAGTTAAACAGCTCCAAAATACAAGAATCTCTACTTGTAACAGTATCTACATCTGTACTTTGCAAGTAAAAATTTTAAAAGGTTTCTTCACATCTACCCCATAGGAGTTCCTTGCACGAGAACAAAAGCACTCATTGGAAGCACTCATGGAGTTAAAGCTCAGAGATGAGAAGGCAGCTGCAAAAGGAAGGGATGCCTTGCAAAAAAGCAATTAAAAATATATTCATCTTTCAACCCCTGCTTCAACAATTCCTAAATTAAACAACTCACCCACAACAAATCCAAACCCATAATCCCCAAAATCAGAATTTTTTTTACAAAAGGATGTCACAGGTGTATAGTTGGTACACTTGACTTGTAAACCACATAGAAACTAAAAATGAAATGTCCCTTTCTGTCAAACATTGAAGTCAGTGCACAGTTCTCTACAGCCTTTTTAATTGAGAAGAGGGGGGAAAGGGCTTCTGAATAATACAAGATCCATGAGATCACTTTTCATGAAGCTATTTTTTAAAATTTATGTCCACCTCTTTTATAAATTAAGTCAAATTACTTTTAATTTAGCAAAAGTTTTATGCATGTGCAGTTTTGAGTGGAATTTCCTTTAACTTTACAGCAAAGCTTTCCCGCATCTTTGATTTTCAACTTACATTTAGCACATACTGATGGGCTTTGCTAAACATGACATTCTTTTGTGTATGCTTAGGAGTAAATAAACTGGTAAATGTTCTGTTGAATTTGGTCCTTAGTGAAAAAGCCTATCTTCTAAACTGTAATAATTAAAGGAACAAGAAATCCTCAGGTAAAGCTGTTATTTGCAGAAAACTGCTTGCTTCAATTCAAAGCAAACAGCACAGAGAAATATCCATGCATGGGTATGTTCAATAATTGCTTTTGGAAATAGTGTTCATGATCAAAGAGACTGTTAGCACAGTTTTTCTGAGGCATGTTTGTTCCAAAGTGAAGGCTGGAAATTGTGTGTTTATTCAGTGGATATCAAAAGCAGAGCTCCTCTCTGTTGCTCTGAGATGAAAATGAAATTAATGCTGAAGGAGAGAGGGAGGGGGAGAAAAAAAAAATCAACAACATAAAAACCCACAAGCAAATGCTAAGACCCAAAAAATACCCAGAGACAGTGAGCAGGTAATGCTTTCTAAAGGTGGTCATCTCTGACAGATTCAATGAGAACATTTATCTCAATTTTTAAAGTGTCTGTTTTTTAAATTTTATTTTTAATGTTTTCCTGGTTTTATTGGTCTTGAATCCATATAAGGTCTTTAAAACTGTCAGTCTGGACATGAAAGACAATATATGCAAACTAATTTTGAATATTGGCACTGGAGAACTGAAAGATGCACCACATTACATTTGACTTGCAAATACTAAACCTGTTTTTGAAGGATGTACAGATATCCTGCCAGTGGCAAAATCTATACAGCTTGCACTGCATTCAAAAGCAGCAATAATACAGACAACTCTTTATGCCATAAGGTGGCCTTAGGTTTCTTCATGCCCATAACTGACATGGCAAATAGCTGAAGTCCAGAGTTCTCAAGGAAATTCAAATAAAGCCCAGAAGGCCAATTTACATATAAAAATGGAAAAGCAATATACATTTATAAATAACAACAATGACAATGAAGAACATTTAATTTCAAGTTATGCACCCTAGGGGTGTGCCTATAGTCAGCAAAGTACAGCAATATAGAAGTACCCAACTCCAGATGCAGTTTAAGTGTTGGTAACACACTTAAGTTTAGTTGTGGTAACACAGACCTTTTATATGGTTTACCTCAGCTATATTGCATATTCTGTTACTGCTGCCCAAAGAACTTGCTTAGCAGTGCACACACAGGCTGAGATAATAAAAAAGCACAGTGCTGGACAGTGAGACAAGGGGTGTGAAAACCCTGTCTAGGACTTCTTGAAGCATTCTCTACTATGTCAAGTAAGGGCACTTTCAGAGAAGAGAGATCACTTATTTATTATGGTGTCTGAGACAGGAACTGTGAATCATCCTCTTCTGCAGGATTAGCTGGAAACAGATTTTCATTGACCAGAATTTGTGGTGTTTGAGCAATTTGGAAAATTCTGGCTTTCAAAGTTTTCAAGGTCTAACACTTGAGAAGGTTTTTGTATGAGTTTGAGACCTCTATTAGGAAGAATCCTTGTGACTTCCCAGCTATTTGCAGAATCATAGAACGGTTTGGGTTGGAAGAAACCTTAAAGACCACCTAGTTCCAACCCCCTGAGATGGGCAGGGACACCTCCCACTAGACCAGGTTGCTCAGAGCCCCATCCAGCCTGGCCTTGAACACTGCCAGGGATGGGACATCCACAGCTTCCGTGGGCTAACTTCTCTGTCCTATTTTCCTCTTGGAAAATGGATATTCCTATTTTCCTAAATTTTATGGGTTTTTTCCCTAGCAGAAAGAATGAAGAATATTACACTATCAAGAAATCAGAAATGGATGGACCTGAATACATCTCAGTTTTGTTCTGCTAAATCTTCTTAGCAGTTAGTGGAAGTGTGTTAGAGCAGAACAAGGACATCTAATTGTACTTAATATTAAAGAAATTACATTGTATGTTCATTGAATGCAGTCTCACACTTCATGTGGCATGCTGCAACACAATAGAAGCTATAACAGAGAAAAAATATTATCATAATTAAATGTATTGATTAAATAAGTTTATTGTAATTAGGGAGACAAAATAACTGGCACACCTATTAACTGAACAATAATTCCCTGAAAGGAGAATATTTCAATATCCTGACAGATCGTGTTGCTTCTATGGGAGGTTTTACTGTATTTTCAGAAAGCCGATCTGGTCTGTCACATATTCAGTTTTTAATGGCAACGCCAATGACAGCATGTGTTTTTAAATGCAGCTACATCTGCCACTGTTAATTACTGAGTCATCTGACCAATGTAGTGGAAAATAAAAATGCCATAATGACATGAAAGCACTGAGAAAAGCTACTTGACAGAAAGCCACTTTCTTGTGCTAAACAGTAAGTCTTCTGGTCCTAAGAAAGCCTGTATTTAACCATGGCAGACAGCAAGAAGAAAGAATTCTACAGCAGATCATAGCAGCAAAACAACACAACAAAACAAAACCTGTTGTATTCAAAAAGGGCTACATATGCATTCAGCACCAGCAGACCTGCAGTGGATTTGCCAAGCGATAGTTTGAAAAGAGAAGACTATATATAAGCACACACTTGCAGATGTTTATTAAAAATATTTCTTAATATATTCCTAAATACATATATGTATTTTATTATTGAAATGGAGGTGTTAGTCCTTTCACTCCTATACAGAAGACTTATTAGTATTATTTTTAACCAAAAAAAGAGAAACAATGCCTTTTGACTTTAAGCAGCAAAGAAAAACTCTAGAAGATCAGCACATTTTGAAAGTGCAAGTATGTTATCAGCAATGTCTATGCATTTCAAAGATCTGTAGCGCTTACTGATGACAGTTTGTTTGATTAAGCTAATAGAATTAAAGGAGATTAAAAAAAGCCCTTGCTTGAATGCTAATGACAAGAAAAAATAGCTTCCAAAAAGTACCTTTCTTTGAAGTGCAATAGGAAACAGAAATGAGAACAATTACAAATGGGAAATCCCAGAACAAAACTACCAACCTAGTATTTGTATATCCTGTGAAAACGAAAGAGGGAATAGTTACTATCAGAAGCAACAAAATTAAAATGTTTATGAAAATATAATCCCAGAATAGAGCTGCCACACCAGTAAGTGCATATAATAAACAAAGAGACATCATCACTAGTAATACCAATAAAGGAGAGCTTCACTACCAGAACTAAAGATACATCTACGCCTAAATTGCAGCAGCACCTTAGAAAAAGCTGAGGAATCTCTAAACAACATGGTTACAATATAGCACAGAGAAATGCTGTGTAAAGACACTAAGTGGCTCCCAAAGCAATATAAGCACCTTGGAAGAGTCCTGTGCCTGGATTTTCTATCTATCTTAGATGCTTCTTGCTCCAGAATTACTCCATTCTGAATAAACTGGGAATTACAGTCACAGGTCAAACTGCAAAACACAGATAACTGTTTTAAGGAAAAAATCCCAAACCAACAAAAAGATGGGCAAAGAAAACCTAAACACCACCCTCCCCCCCTCAAAAAAACCTAGCCCTGATTCCTCTTGCCCCTAGCAAGACTCTCACCATCTTAGACAGTTGAACACTACCATGACAAAGGCAGCAAAAAATAATCACTGTACCAGTAGGGAAGATGGGATAAATAAATAGAACATGTGTTTCTACATTTTTTAATGCAATGTGATCACTTTAGATCACATGAGACTGTAAACACCATGTAGTATTACTGATCTTCTATAGTATTTTTGTAGTGTCACGGAATTACAAATTCCATGAAAGTGTACTGAAGCATGAAGAGGCTGTTTCCAAGTGCTGTTCTTACTCCATGCTTGCTTGAATTTTACTCCACATTGGACAGTGTTAACATGTGAAATTGCTATACTTACTACTCCCCACCACAGGGCATCTGCATAGCTGCCAAACTCCGTTTCTCCAGAATCATTTACAGCATCTTTCTCAGCCAGGTACACAAAATAAGAGGAAAAAATCAGGCCCAGAAATCCAATGTAGAGTGTAGTTATCAGTTCCTGCAAAGAGAATCAAAATAGCGGCATTATGATCTCATTGAGACACTTAAATTTCCTAACACCGATGGGTTATAAAGGATAACTGGAAGAGAAAAATGCAATTACAGCAATTGAAAAATACTGAGTGTTGGCTATGCAAATTAACAAAAACCCACAACACATGACAACACAGAGTCAAAACAACCTTGTCACACAGGACTTGGTTAACCTTCTGGCCACCAAAAAGTAGTTGGGTAATATTTTTAAACAGTGCCAGATTCAAAGCAACTCTGGAATTTAGATACATATTTTAAGAAATACTAGGACTAGCTTTCAGAAATCCAATTTTCTGTCGTTGAGTCCAACTACAAGTCAAAATTTGCCAAAGTGGCAGTGAACATAAGGCAGAACAACCACACTTGGTTAAAATAAATTATTATCTGCCTGTACACTAAATATAAGTGATACCAGCAGCAGGGCTGAATGTATGCTGTTCTGAATATCAAAGCTTTGGCATCAGCTGTGCCATTCCTCAGACTTGCCAAGCTCACCTGTCTGTGTATGAACACCACTGACCCCAGCAGCCTCCAGGTACCGCCCTGACGGTCAACGTGCAGCATCCGTAAGATCTGCAGGAAACGGATGCCCCTGGAACACGATTTTCAAATTAAGAGACCAAACACACCAGAGAAGAAACAGAGGTGGGAAAAGGAACTCTGGCTTCCAAAGCACAGTTTTAAGAGACACAGAGTGTTTTATGTCAGATTGTGTCTTTTCACCCCACTCACCGATCTTTCTTCTTGTTATGAAGACAATCTGGGGAGATTGTCCAAGGGAAGAACTGACGTTTGTACACATGGCTAGTAAGGATAACTCAAGGATTCAGGAATTTTGGACACAAACTGTAAACACTCTGGAAATCATTCATCAACTCATATTTGATGTGCTCAACAGAATGGAAAACAAAATATGGAACCAGCTAACTGAAGATCTGATTTCCTTATCTTTGAGGAATTTCATAGGCAATTTGAACCAGACAGTCCAGTAATATTTTAAAATATTCTTTTTATGGGAGTCACTGCAATCCCAGAGCATAGCTGCAGCTAGTGTGAATAGCAAGGCACACTGCCACCCATTCATCCAAGAAAACCAAGGGGTGTGACCTTCCTGAGCACAAGATGGATTCAGTCCATCAGGAATTCACAACCACAGGCATCTTATAAAGAGGCAGCTTTAAGATGTCAGAGATATGAAGCATCAATGAATTGCTATAAAACTAAGCTAAGAAACTTAGCTTAAACCAGGCTTTGGGTAGAACCCACCTAGCTGGGGAAAGGGGGAAGGAGAATGAGCTTCTCTATTCCCACTAACCATAAAAGTGTTACAACAAAATTTTATCTCCCCTACACTTCATGGGATCACCAATACATGATCAGTGATCTGCTGTATTACAGGACACTGGGCAGTGACTCATTTTCTCCTGCAAGAATTGAAACAGGAGGTAAATTAAAACAAAAGAAGAAACGCCACCTTGCTCAGGTAGCACCACTTTCTTTTATGGCATATAATTACCTGATAGCAGAGGTTGCAAAGACTTGACCTTTAGAGCCCACACAAAGAACTATCATGGAAGCAACAACTACAATTAAATCTGGAAAACAAAAGTCAATAGAAGAAAATTAATTAGCAACATCTTGCAATACTTCTGCAAGACTACTAGAACCAAGGACCATATTACTTTAACAAGTTGAACAGTCACTCCTACTTAATATTTTTGTTTATATATCAAGAGATCTCAATTGTGGCATATAAAAAAAAATTCCACCATGTAATATCATGGAAAGGTTGTACTGAGATGGGTCCAAGCTGGCCACAGTCTAGAGGAATGAGGAGTTACTGTCAAGCAGCCTGGAATCCTTATTAGCTTTAACCCACGAGGAATTTCAGCAGCTTCCATCTATTCTCTCTTCTTCAATTCTTATTTTCTCTTCTGTGCTTAGACAGGATTTCGATTGACAGAGATTTTAAGGTTAATTTCATAAGTAAGAAAATTGCCTTATTATCATTTCATCTGTCCAGGTCTAAAAGGGATTGAAAATTGAAATTAGGGTAGGAGCCTAATTTAGTTTAAGTCAGTCAGTACTGTACTCTAAATCTACGTGTCTCAGGCCTAGTAAATTTTGGAAAGTAACTCTGTATTTTGGAGAATTAAATAGTTCTTGATCCATATCTGTGACAGCAGAACTACATTCTGCTTTCCAAACTGATCTAATTTGGATGATGTTTCAGAATGCTTAGTGTTCTAGCACTCAAGAGAAATGGATTGTGGCCAGAAGGAAAAGATGCAAAGTCTTTTTATAGCTGCAGTCACACCTGAGATGCAGTTGCTATTTACCTACATATATACACACACATACATAGATTATATATATATACACACATGCATATGTATATATATACACACACACACATATATATATATGGATGGATGCACAGAGTAGCTAACTCAATTTTATAATTGTAAAAATACCCAGGTACACAATTTTGTAATTTACATTCGGCAAAACTGTAGACAGTTTATGGAAACCTATGTCCTGTACTCAACAACATATAACATTTCTGAGTAGTGGAAAATGTCACAGAACAAGAATTCCTATTCTTCCACAACTATACTCCTCTTCCAAGGCCTGACTGATTTATTTAGTCCATATATATTTCAAGCACTTAAGTACAGGGTCTTTACACTGTTTTTTCAATGCTGGCTAAGAAAATACAGATTGATTTTGAATTATCTTTCTTTTGGTGAAACTGTTAAATTAATGACAAGCATCTAAAAAAACAATGATTAGTGACATATATGGAATATTTGGACACAATTTCCAAGAACCCTTAGGTCATTTTAGGAAGCCAATTGAATCCCAATGGAATTGAGGTGTCCAGTTCCAAATGCATCACTGAAAATCATATTTTAATTCAACTGATACACAAAGCAACTGCAGTGCATCTATTGCACTCTACTATGCGACACACAGCTCAATTAGAGTGCAAAATAAACTCATAATAAACTAGTCAAATGGCTGCTAAGGGGAGAAAAAAAGGCTGTTCAGTATCTTTGAAAAAATATTTGGGGCTCTTGTATCTGGGACCCTCAGGTCACAGGAGACAGGACTAGGGCCAAGACTTATTCCTGGCAAAGCTTAAGATCATTTCTGAAAAGAAAACACTCTGCTCTTCTGGAAAAACAAACCAAGCTACATTTGTTCTCAAATGACAGTGCCATGAGTTCCTGAAAGGAAATTCAGATCTGCATTCACACTAATGACAAGAGCTCCCGCTCTAACTTGGCTTCAAGTGCTACAGAAGTTCAACTTCTAAAAGCCTTTAGGGCAAGTTTTACTAATTGTTCACAGTGACTTTGCAAGCTCTGCATACTCACCAATGATTGAAATAGGCTTCCTAGCAAAACGAAGCCTTCCCCATACTCCAACGTATTTACTGCGGCAGCCTGCTGACCATAGCCGAACCACATACTCTGTTCCAAAGAATACCACTAATACAATTTCCTACAAGAAACACAAGGGCAACTAGGTTAATTTTCCACTCCATATGTGTCTTTCATCTCTTTTTGGAATGTATTAGAAAGGAATAGATAAAATGTAAAATTAGGAAGGTGACAAATATATCAACTATATCAAAAATTATCTGAAGTAAAATAGAAAAACCTGTAAGAGTTGAGAAAGAAAATATTAGGAGCAAATTGAAATGCTTTGATTGCATGCAGTTTGGCTTGTCTACACGTAATAAAACTGAAAACCATTCTGTGCCATTCACTTGGTCTAATTCAAACAAAAGATTTCCTGATTGAGCCAAAGCAAATAAGCGGAGTCTGTATTTAGAAGATGAGCATTTTGCTAGTTTATTTCATTTCTGGAAGAGGTGTGCTTCATGTACCAACTACCAGATCAGCTTAACTTCCCCCTTATTTATACTTTTTCAGTCTCCCTTTAAGCTCACATGGATTGAAAAAAAGGTTTCTAGCATCCATCACCAATATGCCAGTCTCCAGGTACACTGAAGACAAAGTGAGCTAACACACATTTCCCATTCTCTTGTCAGCATTTGGGGACTTCAGCAGAAACAGAAATCTAGTCCTGCAGCACTGCTGGTACCAAGCTACTTATAAACACTAACCTATACTAAGGTATGACTTTGGAAATGCCTCCAAGGTGACAGAGGTCAAAGACACCTGATATTCTTGCTGATTGGACAGAGGTACAGCTAGGTCCTATTTGGAACATCACCAATGTGCAGATAAACCCTGGGCTTTCCACAGACTAGATAAGCATGGCATACCCAGCATAGTTTCCTTGTGTATTGGGGAGCTACAATCCTCCCTTATTGGCCAACTCAATTAATAAACGGTCACATTTTCCATCAGAGCCAACAACAAAATCTACTTACTGAAATGGTAAGAGTGGCTTGTCACTGAAAACACACAACACATGGCATAAAGTAAGAGTGCAGCTGAGAAACCACTCTCAACATGTCACAGTTACACACGTTAGTGCAGATTAAGAGAATGAGCCCCTTATTTCAAAGTGTGATTTCACATAAAGAGCAACTGCAGAGAACACAACGCGCTGTTAACATTCTATCCAGCCCTCTCACATGTCTGCAGGGCTCACTGCTGTTTTGCATAACAAATTGGCAAACAGGACTCAAGGTGGTACCTATGATTATTTTCTTAATTGACTGATATAGCCAGGACACAGCCCTAGTTTAGACAAGAAGAATAGGAGCCATTATCACCTTCAAAAATGCATGGGATATTGCCCTGAATACTGAGCAAAATAATATGGCTGTACACAGTAAAAATAACAGGGAAAAGGTAGGTATCAGGTGACTTTGCTATGATATTTTTGTGGATCTAAACCATCTTGGTGGCATAAAAACCCTGTTTATCTCAGGGCAAGAAAATGTTGAAATTCAACTTTGTGGTATTTCTAGCCAAGCTGGTAGAACATGAGCCAGGGCTCTTCCCCTTAATTTCAATGTCTCATAACCTATGCAAGATGTCAGATGCAGTAGAACATCACAATTGTTTATAGTCACTTGTATTCAAGGTAGATTTTTAAGATAAAATACAACTATCAGAGCATTGGTTGTAATAAACAAGCCCTTCAATCCAGCCAAGAATCTCTTCTAGAGCTTCCTTCTGAAAGGATCCACCAGAACCCTCCACCATTTTTTTTTTACTTTAAAATTGAATTATTGTTAAATATTTTCCAATAAGCTAAAGACATAATGAACATCATAAATTGAAAAAAAACAGCAGCTGCACCAGATGCTTTAAGGAAACCCTGTGTCTTATGACAAGCTTCAAACGCAATGACACTTTCCCTTTGTCCAATCTAATGTCACTTATGAACCAAAACTGAATGGGAGAATTAGGAGCTCTGCTTGACATGAGGTCCTAGGGAATTGTCACAGAAATCAGAGCACCTTCTCTGATCAGGTGACTGTATTTCTTTCACAGACCTAGTCAACATACCCTAATATCCAAGTGTTCTTCCTTTTGCAGAGGACTAGTACATTTCCCTTCATCACTACTACCGTGGAGGAAATTCCCTTTACAAAAGACAATTCCAACCACACGGGAAGCAAAAGCTGTCCTTCATTCAAAATAGCTCATCTGAGGAAGGGATAGGAAGGGATATATAAGGGTATATATAAGGCTTCACATCATGTGTGATAGCACAGATAATACTATTCAGATATCCCCAAAAGCAATTGCCAAAAGCAAAAGAAGGGGAAAAGGTTACCTTGGCAAGGAAAGAAAAACCCAGAGAAAAAGGTACCATTTTAGCACAATGGACCCACAAACAGCACTGTGGACTGTCAGGATCACAGTTTCAGTTTTACGGGAGGAAGGCAGGAAGAGAAAGCGTGGATTGTGCTGTAAAGGAGCGAGCGTTCCCCACACAGGGAATTTGCATGGGAGCTGTGCCTATGCTTCCTAAAGCCCTCCATGGTTCATTGGCTAACAGGCACACCGGCAAGTATGCAAATGGGGGCTGTCCCAAAGACAATGGGACAGACACGCACTCAATGGTTACTGTCACCCAGCTCTTTGCGTGACATGCAGACAAGCTCAGAGAACACTGATTGTCCTATAGACTCCGCTGACTGCGGGGAACGACCAGTCGGCTTACACCAAGACACATTTTTCACTCCTGACGTTTTGATAAAGGCTTATTGACCTAAATGAGACCCAAGTTATTCAGGGAACATCGGGGGTGAAAGTGCACAAGCTGTTCTTCATGGTCATACACAAAAACGCCAGGTATCCATTAGCAACTGGCAAATTCCCCCTCCCCTGCCCGTGGCTCTGTGACAGACAAAAGTGTTTTTAATATCTTGTGTTGCATAAATCTAATAAGTACTCTCCTGGGGGTGGGGGAGGCAGATGAATTTCTGTCTGTGGGCTCTTACATTAGTGGCCAGAAACTTGTAGACAATAAAAAAAAGGTACATCAGTTATTTTCCCCCAAGCTACTAAAACATTCCCTGTATTTTTCTGATTACCAACTTAACATGAAATTTACATGCACTAGAAGACAATAACTGCCTGAAAAACATGAGTGAGCATGGGAATTAAAGCTCAGTCGAGGAGTTTTCTTGGTTAAAATTACATACACACAAGTACTACACTGTGCAAGGACCCATTGTAACTTAATAGAAATCTTCTTTCTACAAGGTGAAAACAGAAGTGCAACACGGAGATTAAAAACTTACATGGTATAAGGAGCCCTCTAAGATGTGACAGTAATGTACATTCACACTATGGGCATACAGGGGCTGTCTCAAGAGAAAATACTTTTTTTTCCTTTAATTAATGATTTCTACATGGTACCCTCACTTCTTCCCTCCTTCCTGTTCAGCCAAGGTATGCCTTGTGCCATATTCATGCCTTCTCAGCCACAATCCCAGCACAGCCAAGTAAAATATGCCATAATTTAATCATCTGGTTACAGTACAGCTCTCACCATCCAATGAAGGAACTTAGGCAGGATCAATACACAGTTGCCTGACAAATATGCCCACGCTATCGGCTAGTGCCGTTCATACCTCCAGAGTTCCCAGGGTATTTTGCTAATAAATGCATCTGGAAAAGCCCTTCCTTTACTTCCCAATCCCCACTGTACTGAAAGAGCTACAGTCCTTGGATGGGAGACATCCAATACCTGCACTGTGAAATACAGTACAGTAGCAACTCCAAAAGAAATCACAGGGCCCTAAAACTTAACTGAAAGAAATGTTTTTAAACTATTAGATTAATAACTTGAGAGGAAAAAACACAAAAAATCATGACACCACAACAATAGCTATTTAACAGATACAGAAATTGTCTCTGGGGGCTGAGAATGCATCTGTATAGAGAATATATTGCCTGAGGCTCTGCCTGTAGACCTCAAAACTATAACTGGTCATGAAGCATCACAGGCATTCAGGCAACCATTTGATTGAGGTCATCTGAAATCTATTACAAACAACAATCTCTTGATTCTGTCTCTAGACTTCTTTCAATGCACTCCATAAATGTAAGAGAGGTAAAACACATTCTCTTGGAGGAAGGAGGCAAAGTGTACCATTATGTTATTCTGACTGGCTATAGAATACCCAAAACTGAAGAATACATACAGCTTATTGCATCTCCCATGGAAGTGTCTGCCCTAAGAGGAAGGAGAGATGACAGGCACAGGAAGACAAGAGGCATTGGTGAGGGGGACAACTTTAAGACTCATAAGTACACATTTCTTGTACTGAAGCATTTCCTCCCATCTCAACATTTCACTGGGAATACAATTTTTACCCATATCTGCAATATCACAAGCTCTATTACATTACCGTCATAGGAGAGATAAATCACATTATTCCCACAATTCTATCAAATATGGCTTCAAGGATGATAAAGTTCCCACAGATTTCTTTAAACAATTAAATAATCCCTCATGTAGCTTACGTAGGTATTGCATGCCAACAACCATCCCTTCAGCTGTAAGATTCCTGTGGCACTACTTGGACTGAAACCTATTATTTAGCCAAGGCAATGGAATATTGCTGCTAGAGAAGTGGAACCTCCTCACAATCTCAGGCAGCAATAGTGGATCAAGGACATTGCCACAAGCTTTTTTCAGAAGTCATGACAAGCAGGTCTCTGAAAGAGCCAAGAGAGGGGACAAGAGATCTGCTGAAGTAAAGTGACAAACTGGACACTTGCCATCCATCAAGGGCTGTGTAGCTGGGTTGGACAACAGGTTAGCATCTTATCAATCAGGGATACAGCATCTCTCTACTCCTCAAAGGTCAAAAAAAAAAAAAAAAAAAAAAGCAGGGGCATGTCTCTCATATAGAGCAATCACAGACTCTTAGAACAGTTTGAGTTGGAATGAACATCAAAGATCACCTTGCTCTAACCCCCTGCCATGGGCAGGAAACTCTCCACTAGACCAGGTTGCTCAAAGCCCCATCCAACCTGGCCTTGAACACTTCCAGGGACAGA